TAAGTTAAGTACAAAAATTACTAAAAATTTGTTTTTCATGCCCCTTTTCATATCCCCACGATCTCCAACTACGCCACCTCTAGGGGATCCCAACCAGAGTCAACCCTGCGTTGCGCAGTTCGCAACGGCACGTTGAGAGATCCTCAACGCACGCTGTATGGGCGGAGACACAGACGGCTCGAGCATGCGAGTGTGAATGTTCGCGCGAGAGAACGTGTCTAATCGGGCGAAACTGCGCAACGTGGCCGTTGAGAACTGCGCAACGCAGGGTTGACTCTGATCCCAACTACGACTCAGTCTGGCATTATCTGTTGATACGGAGCAGGAAGCTTGCATCGAATATAAGCGCGTGAAACACCACCTTTGAAAATAGGACTAAGCCTTGGGCCAGAGTGGAGACTAAAAAATGATTGAGCAATTTTTGTTTTCCCTAGAATTCCTGCCCCTTCCTAAGCTTAGTCCTAAAAAATGCCGCTGTACCTTGCGATAGCGCCCTCATTTCCTCCTTATACCAGGACTAGTGAGACTCCTGTCGAGAAATCCTCCTGTACTACTTCGCCCTGCTCCATTTATATTCTAGTCACATATTTGCATAGATCAGTAATTCGAGATCGGGTCCGTGTCATCTTGTGAATGCACAAATTTGATGACATTTTGACCTCTTCTCTAATCGAACGACTCAAGTACCATAAGAAATTAGTAGCCGAATTGCTTTTCGAGGCAGAAGGGCGTTGTGGCAAGTGGCGCTGCTTACCACGCGAGCGGTCCGGGGATCAAATCCTGGGTCGTGAGTCGCCCGGGGCCAACCAAGCCTTCCATCCCTCCGGGGTCGGTTAATTGACTTGTCTGGGAGGATAAAAAACACTGACTTGAACATCGGCTGGCCCCCGCAAGTCATTGTATAGGCCACATCGCATTCAAATGCCACTGCGAATGTACAAATAGGAAGTAGAATGCGTAGCCGCATTCAAAGGCGAGATCGATCTGCGTCGAGTGCTTCATTGTTTCTCCTGTTGCTATTTTTTAGTGACATTTTTGCGGTCACATATGGTGCTGTAACAAAAGCGGTCATTGAGAAATGTAGGCAATTTTTAAAACGATTTTTGGCGCGTCGATGCGGCACATGAGAAGGGGGGGGGGCGGTGCGGAGTACACAGAACAGAATCATTACGGACATTTTCCTTTGTTGAAAATTTTCACAAATTAAATACTCATCAAGTTTCCTTTGCACATTTAGAGTGATTCATTCGCCTGGGTGCTTCCTTCCACTGTGAAAATTGAGACCACCGCAGTCGTTCCGCACCCATTCACACTCACCAGTGAACCCTTTTGAAATGGGTTCCAAAATCTTTTAGTGTGCAGGTATTAGAATCTCCCAAGCGTTAGCGTCTCGTAGTCGCGAACCCCGCTAAGTATGTAAGTAAAAACGCTAAACTGTTGAGTAGAATCAAGAATGAGGGAAAAAATGCACTGGAAATGGGAAAATCGCAGCTTTCAGGTTTTTTTTTCCTTTTTGGCACACCGCAGCAGAACATAACTTTGTTTTCGTGTGTAACTGCACGTGCCCTTTTCAGGGTCTCTTTCTCATTTTACAAATAGCCAGCTCTCCACAAAATTATGCACATTTTTTGAGCACCGTGTTAAGTTGAGTAGGTGACGTAAGTTTTTGAGGACGAACTACATGGATCTGAAGGAATCTCATGTCAAGTGATGCGCGCCATGGTAATGCAATCAGGGGAGAGCCAATAAAATTAATAGCGACGGGAGCGTCGTCGAGCTCTAACGATGAAGCTCAAATCACAGAAGCGCGCTGACGCTTATTTTACCTGATGCTCTCCGTGTTGACGCTCTTGTTCTCTTTACTGCCGCACGTTTCTTTACTTGAACCTTAATCACTTTCCCATGCGTCTTACTGGTACTTTCCGCATTTACAGTAGTATATTAGTTCCCAATGCTTTCTTAAAACTTTCATTTTTTTTCTAAAAAAAAGTATCTAAGTTTGCTTTAAAGCGACCATCCGGCATGTAGTGCGTTAACTAGGCGAATGTGGCCGCTTAGGGTTAATCACGGCGTCGCAGAAAATCTCCCCTACAATCCACTTTTCCCTCCAATACCCGTCCCCCCCCCTACTCTACTCGCCTACTCGCGGGTCACACCATACGTGCAATCGATCATGTGCACATAGGGGTCAAAAGAATAGCTTCATATGTACATGCTCTTAAAGTGAGTTAAAGGCAGATGTTGCGAAAAATTGTTCCCCACTGGAGCTGAAAGCAGAGTCACTGCAAAGTGACTGTGGGGAAAAAGTGAGGCAAACTGCCGCAAACCCGCAAAACAGAATCGTAGTTTGATTAGTTTTGTTTGATTTCCGCGTTGGAATGAGTCCCATCGTTGCTGACGTCATCACCATGATACTCTGTTTTGCCACTCTGCTGAACGAGATAGAGCCCGTGGCTAGAGTCCGATGGCGAGCGTGTAGCCATTGGGAGGCGTGGACAGCCGCGAAGTAACATTATCGTTGCGGTTAAGGTTTGTTGAGCTGCTATAGGCGCACCCTCCGCAGTAAAAGCCTCCGCATCCCGCTCCCTTTATGTCCTCCCTCCCCTTGTAGTCGATATATTTCTCTTTCTTCAATCTCCAATTTATCGTGGTACGTGTCTTTAGGTACTGCAGCGTACATTGAAAACTGAGCCCATTGTCAAGCGAACTTCACTTTCTTCAGACGAAGTTTTCCAAAATTGCAAGTAAATTCGATTTTTTCCGAAAATGTACCTTCTGAAAGATAGTGAATTTATGCGCGGAACGGCAAATGACCGCTCCTCCCGAACCGAGCCAAAAATTGCATCGTTGCTGAAAATTGCCTACATACCGACCAATTTTTTCGCAAGTGTGTGGTCGCATTTTGCGCACCCGTAACTTCTTACAGCAGCATTTCTGTGTATTGCTCACATATCCGGGTTCATTGTCTAGAAATTGCTTGAGTTCCCTTATAAGCTTTCTATGAAGAAACAATATTTTAATATTAGTTCACATTTTCAAAGCGAAAAATTGCTTTTTGCTCTGTTCACAGAATTCTTCCATGGCTAGGATTATGTACAGAGAGTTTTGGTGCCCTAAATACATATTTTTGCTTTTGATGAACAGGAATTGGAGCACTAGCGCAGATCGAACTCGTTTTCGGATGCGTCACATACTTGACTTTCGTTCCAGATCGAAGGCGCTCTTGATGGCATTTCGCCCATACATCGACTTGCTGTTGCCCCAGCCAATACAATCTAGTTGCAGTGAATGAATTTGCTTTCTTTAGCTGTTTATACAGTTTCAAATGTAATATATTGATTCATGTGCACTTTCTTTGCGACAACATGGACATAATGTGTTTTACGGCGAGCACAAAAGGCGATGGCGTCATCTCCTGAGGCTCCCTGCCCGAGATTCCATTTGCTTAGAAAAGGGTGGAAACGGGCAGACACCTCAAAAAAGGAAGACTCTGAGAAAATTTCATCACTGCTTCATAACTGAAACCACAGATTAGTGATGGACACATCGATGTGACTGGAAATCGTGGCTGCCACTTTAAGTACCTAACCCATTCGCGACCGCGCAATAGCAGTACAGTCAGGAGATTTTTCTTCAATAAAATTTGAGTGGATGGAGATTTCCTCTGCCCAGGGCTGGCGTAGATGAATGAGGGTATGAAGATTCTTTTCATGAAAACTTTCCAAATTCCATTTGAAACCCGGCAGCCACAGTGGATGCCATTGCCCGAGTGAGATCTTTGTCAGCCACCGGTGGATGCCATTGTCACGAATGGCTTAAAGGAATCTTGCGCGGAAAATTCTTGCACTCTTTCCTAACATGAATATGTCAGTTGTGATCACTGGAAATAGCACACAAAGTTTCACGCATGAAGATTCGGTTTCTGAAGAGAAACAAACGTACAAAAACTACACGTTATGGACCATCGAAGGACCAGGAGGCAGAGCCAGGCGAGGCATGGAAAGAAGACGGCGTTTGGCCGGCTACGTACCAGGCGACGCAATGAGAGAATCGGGTTAAAGCGCGCGATTTCGGAGAGTGGAGACAAATCGATCGATGGAATAGGATGGAGTAGAAGTGTAAGATGTGAATGCAACGAAGCAGAAGGCCAGAAAGAGCTTCTAGTGAATGCACTCCAAGAACCAAGTTTGAGCATCCCCGTCGCCAGCATTCGTGAAAGACGTCCGTGGGCAATTCGAACGCGTAGCAGCCTTTTCGAGTTTTCGAATTTCTAATCAAAACGAAAGCAATACTTCAGTTCTTTTCACTATTATCGTGGATAATGAGTCTCAAGCCAGTGATTTATGGCTGAAATAGAATCATGATTTTTCCGCGCAAGATTCCTTTAACTAGGAATTTTTACTTTTCTGTTTTGTCACTCCAACCCTTGAAGGAATCTTTGAGATATCTGGGAATTATAGCAGATAAAATTTGGTTGGAAAATATTCGTCAGATATGGTATTTATACATAGCCGCGGTCGGACTTATCAGCACGGTACAACAGGTGGGACATACTACTCATCAGAAATGCCGGGATGATCTAAGTTCCAAATATCGGTACTACAACCTGGCTTTCGGTCTTTAGTAATTTGACACGGTCATTCGTTCAAACACATTGGCGACACCCTTGTCGGCGAATTTCCACAATTTTAAGTGATTTCTGATCAATAGTTTACTCATTCTTTGAAGATTTGCCACCTGATTGTCTCTTCCACCTGGTACTTTTGTTTAGTAGTCAGTCCATAATATAGCACTGATAATGAAAGAGTCATTTTCCGGATCTAACAATCTAGGCGGTTTGAAATATGAACGAGAAGAAATATTCGAGTAATACGAGTCTTCTCCGTGTGTGAGTGCGGGCAATATGCGGCCCGCACTGCCGACGATGTGTTGATCGCTCGCGCGCCCTGACGTGTTACCTTTGTTACTATGTGAACAAGATTTCCTGCTTATGAATTTAGTTCAAAGAAGTCAATCACAAGAATCTAGACGGGCAGGATGTCGGTTCCCTGGTTCAGCACGTGAAGATCCTCAACTTTGTCGGCACTACGCACTATTGCCGGAAATGCGTCATTCTCAGGGACGTTCCAAAGGAAAGGGCGATACGAGTAAGTAATACAATGCAATGGAGCCGCACCAATATTTAAGCTATTTTATGCACTTAAGACTAGGAGCACTGAACGGTTTCTTCTAAGTGACTCAACACTTCTAACTAAAGGTGGAATGAACGGCGCGTACAAGAAAAGCATCAGACAATTCCTATTCCATCATTCCTCACCACCTTCGCCATGGAGTTGGAATCTGGAGGCAATTCTATGGTTTCGGACACAGTTTCATGCAATGATATAGGAAGGATCGAGTCTCAAGCGGCATCAATTTTTTTTTGAAATTTGCACGAGGAAGATCTTAAATAATTACGGAAATAAGATTAGTACTTTTCAGCAAATGGGAACCTTGTGTATACCGACTCTGAGTTCCCTCTGAAAGGATATTTGAACGAGGATTTTTCAATAAAGGAAATTCGCATACGGATCTCAGATTTTTCGACATTTCCTCGATGGCTAGACGTCTCAAACTAAAGCCAGAAGCCGAGAATGTGGACACCTCCCCCACCCTATATAATCAATGATCTCACACCTATTGACCCCACGACTTCCGCCTGCTTGGATATTTCTTTAGGAAGTATAGCCGCCATAATAGGGAACACCCTGGAACGGGCCTCCGATACATGTTTGCGTCGACGACTGCGGGAAACAGGCATCCTCGATCGAATAGATGCAAAACAGCTGTGCGCAGCTGTGGTTGTTATCGCTTCAGTTGAGGTTCTCGGAGATCGAGTTGTCGAATTTCGGACAACCGTGTCAAATACGGCTCTACTTGTAAATCAATCGAATATTCCAACGCAAAATTTAGTCAAAATTCATGATTCTCTTTAGAAACGAAACCAATTTTTCTATGACCCACAGCTCAGTATTGATCGAATAAGAGGTTGGTAAGAATCCCCGGAGATCCCCTAGTTGGGGAACCTTTGTGCCCTGCAATTGGGTCGTTAGGTTACAGTGTTTTCGACTATGATAGCTGCTAAGAGATGTGAAACAGCTGCTTAAATGTGCGATAATTCTAGTTTGAGGGTCCATCTACTTTCAAGTTAACCCATTTTGACTCGTATTTTTTGGTTAACTATATTTTTTAAAAGTCGCGTTCTCGAGATGTTAAAAATCCACAAATTAGGGCAAAATGTACCGACACCACTTTTGCGCCGTAAGGAGCTTTATGGAGTGTTGAGGAACAAAAGCGACCTCGTGCGCCTTTGTAGAACTTGTGATTGCAATCAAGACTGATGCTCGACCAAGTAGAAGTTACCATAACCACATTATCTCCCATTCTTCCACTGCGATTTACCAGCAGTCTCACTCGATCCGAAACCTATGTGGTGGAAAAGTGAAGTCAGGCATCAAGTATAATTACTGAGTACGATACGTCATGTACTGCGTACAATGGAAGTTCCGATAACGGCCCTGGTCACCGCTTGCGTCCCCTCTAGTCGGCGCTTTGACGTCATCCAGCACGGGCTGCGCGCGACCTCGACCTCAGTGAGTTTTTTATCTGATAGATATCCATCTAAAAAATTGCAGTGAAAGTCGCAGCAGAGTCTTTCGCTATCTCAGAAAAAGTTCTGAAGATATCTGCACGAGCTCACTCAGAGCTTCACACATAGACTAATGAACACCATTCTAGGACCCAAGTAGTATGGATATCTCGTTTCATAGGACACTTCGTCCTGGTAACCCTTCTAATATCGCGGTGCGCATGAAAAATGTATGCAATGAGCTATTTCGAATACGATAGTGAAAACTTCGCTAGCACCGGTCTCAGGACTTCTGTCAACCGTGAGGCTAGGCAATTCAGCGTTTTGTAGTGCTGTCTGGGAGCTCTCACACAACGCACTATTACAGATCTCTGCTTTCTTTATTTCCTTCAAAAGGCTTAGTCCTGAAGCCTTACAAAGCGTGCTTTTCTTTCCACACTCCCATCCTTCGGCTGACAGAAGCCTTGTAACCGCTAGCAAAAGTTTCTTGGCGGTTAAAAGGCTCGGCTCGCATTGTCATTATTTTTTATGCATTTTTTATACATTTGGGCGAGATTGCGATCACTTGACGTATGCACGAAACTTTGGAATAATAAATGGCGTTGAAAGCAACAAATTGAAAAGATCTGAGAATAATTTTTTGTAAACTTCAGAAATGAAGGATGCGGCAAGACGGCGATCGGAAACCGATGCCAACCAAGAGAATCAGAACGGAAACCCGGAAAAACAACAACGAGGACCGCATGTCGGTGGTGCCGAAACACACAGTGGTGATCCAGTTGTTGAATCGAACATCGCCCTACGCAAACTCTCGGAAGCATTCGGTAATACATCTCATATTTTTTTATATTTTTGTCTAGAAGTGCGCGGTGTCCTTTACGAGAATTCTGCACTTTACGGGCGAAAATAAGAATAACACCAAGTTTCGTTATGTAATAATATTATATGGTCTCATAATTCCTGCCCGATCACAGTTCAAATTCAGGTTTTTTTTCTGCTTAAAACCGTTTTATTGTGAAATTCCCAACAGGGGTTAGCCAACGAGAGGTCCATACACAGTAGCGGTCAAAAGTGTTCGCCGAAACGATTTTCAGTGCATTATTTTTCTCGCTTGAGCAACGCCCTCCAAAGATTGATATACTATGTTTTCTAGTGTTTTTATATCCTCAAGTCTTAAGAATCAGGATATTCAAAAGAAAAAATTTCGAGGTCACCATTGATTTTTTCTGGCAAAAAAAAAGAGAAGCACGAAAAACCGTTTCGGCGAACACTTTTGACCGCTACTGCATAATTACACCGATTACATGATTACGTTTCACAAAAAATGGTCTTTGTCGCAAGGAGAGTACTGTAGTGACCAGCGCTATTTTTGGGCCAGCTTCTGCTATTAATCGGGCGCTGAGGTTGAATTGTGACGGCAATACGATCCTGTGGACCAACCTCATACTGAGCCTCCAAACACTTTGATGAGAATGATTGGGAGGGGAGCTGGACGATATCGCAATGGAAATGTAGCCGACACCTGAGCATAACCTATGATGCACCCTATCTTCCCATCATTGTGTGATGAGCTGCAGCAGAATGAAGTCTCTTTGGAAACCGCACGCACCGATTGACTATGACCGAGAACCATGCCTGGCCATCTGCTTAAAGGCAACGCCCGGGTTCAGTCTCACTGAAGTAGACGCTCCTGTGGAGGTGTGTTGTTCGCAACTGCAGAGGTAGCGCCACCTTCGCACATTGAAACGCGTCACTAAGACGCTAGGCGCTAAGGACTTTGATCAAATCCCACCAAAACTATCAGGGTCCGCCCACCGTTCGATATCTTGTCTGCGTCGCAATGTTGATCTGCTATGCTCTCTCTTCTCGGACTTCTCTACCGCTCTCCGCGCTCACATTATCTCTCATCTCCCTGCCTGCCTTTTGAACTTCTCCACAGCATAGAGCAAAATGCTCGTATTTCCTGTGTATTTCAGGATTTTCTTTCCTTTTTTCTCCACTTGGCGGTCCACCTCCCATCCCTACTTTCACATTTGAGTGGGACTATCACATTAATTTGATCCTAATCCTTACCTTCAAGTTTCATGCTGCGATTCATAAACAGGACGTTCCGAAGTCGATCACCAGTGTGGATGAGTCATGGGTCCACTACGGCAACATGGGGCACGCCTGGTGGCTACCTCGCAGCCAGGTCACACCAGCTCAGCCAAAGCCCAAACTGCATGTTCAAGATATTGCACTCGGTTTTTGGGTTCGCTGGGTATCCTATTTAGAGAACCGCTCTACTATACTGGTGTGCGAAACTTAAGGACGGGAAGTAACTTTGCATGATTTCTCACTGCTAGCTAACCTAGGTCGATGAAATTTGGCACATACATAGAAGGAAATGTTGCAGCATAGTGCAGAGGGTTACTGCTAGAAACACGCAACGGAACGATTGCAAAAGAAACATCACTCCAAAGACAAAATGGCGAAATGACTGAAGTACTTGATGGGAGGAATGGATTCTTGATAGGGTAGGTGAACACTACGGAAGGCAAAGCATGCTCTGTTACGTGCTCCCATAACCCAGTGTTGGTCAAGAGTTCTTGTGAAGCGCTCTATCCCTCGAACATCCTTATTCAAAATTGCTGGATGTTCTTGGCGCATGGGGACTACAGAAGCTCTCCTGAATGCATGCCACACGTGCTCCATAGGAATAGACTGGGGGAAGCGGACAGGCTCAACCAATCGCCAAAGATCCTAGCTTTTAAGAGTTTTCCACCTAGGCTGCTCGATGCTCTCGCACATTGCCCTCCATACTAATGAAATTGAGGTCAAGGGCACCGCTGAAAAGATGCACATAGGAGATGAGTACAACGTCACAATGACGTCGATCTGGAAAGCATTCCGCGATCACGAGTTGGAGCTCGGTACGCCCTGCTATTTCATTTCTCCCCACACCATACCGAATTCTCAAAACAATCATGTTTAACGATGGTCCCGGCCGCATTACATCTTATTATTCTCCACATACTTGGATGAGTCCTGAATTACTACCCGTACTTAATTTGCTCTAAATTGTGATGAGCACGCGTTTCTCCAAATTGGTGGTTCAATTCGTCTCGGTACCTAGCAAATGTTCCCGCCGATACGCGGTTTCGAAGGAACACCAGGTACTGTTGGTCGGGCAGAGAGACCATCCCTATGCGGTCACTGTGCCACTGTCAGGCTGGGATTACATGCCTTACAATCCTGATAAATGTTTTTGCAACTGCAGCCTGTGACTGACGTGGGTCCATTCTTGCCTGTTGCAAAACGTAGCAATCACCTGCTGTTGCGGTTGTCGTGATCCACCATCTCCTTCTCTATGTGCGGCAGTGGCTGTGGGTCGTTCACTCCTTATGCGGTGCTGTGAGCAACACTCCTGGACCACACTTTTCAAACATCTTCCTTCGTCTAGTTTCCCGGTGATTCTTCCTCGTACGAAGTCGTGCTAGTGCTGTCCCCGAGTCTTGGTCAGTGGGAGAAAAAAACTTGAATTAGCAAAAGGTCACTATCGGACCTTATTATGAGACAACTCAATATTTAAGGAGTTTCTGAAAGTGTTCCTGAATGCGAAAAAAAGTGTTTCGGAATGCGTTCATACATCGTTTACCATAGTGAAACAGCCAAAAAACGCCGCCTATTCGGGTTGAGCGAAACGGTGTTTAAAGGCAAACCTCGGAACCTTTGAGGGAAGGATACCGCGGGGGAAATTGTAAGACCTCTACCTACCTAGATCACTCCAGCTTCGCCGCAAAAGTTGCGCGGTTAGGGCCCTTACGGGCCTGCAACCATCGACCCCCGTTGCAACGCTTCCCACCCACCTCGATATCGGCGTGCTCTCTCGAACGGCGTGATCTCTCGCGTGTTTTGTCTTCTTTGACCGCCCTGCCTCGCCATCGTTCCACATCCGACCTTTTTGAAGGTTAAGGCCTTAATTTCAGCGATTCCCAAAGATTTCTCTAGCTTTCCTTTCCACTTTCAGGCCGTCCCGCAGCTCAGTCATCACTACGAAGCGCTCTTATCACCGGTTTTATCCCGGGGCTTGCCTTCAAAAAATAAGACAGAACAAAAGATATTGTATTTCGTTTCAATTCGCTCAGGGGCAGCGACTCAAGTGGTCAGCGATTATTTGATTTCCAGAAAAAAAAGGGTACGCTAGCAGTGGGTGAGGAGTGCGGCCAGATTGGCGGTGCTTAGCAACAATTCACAATCAATTTCGGGCATTAAGGAGATGGGAAATTTTCATGCTCACGAAGATAGCGCGGGATGAGCGAAACCCCGCTAGCAACGCAGCACCCTAAATCAACTTTGGCCAGAAAATATTTATATCACTGCCAGGATGCTTCAGAGATTGAACGAAGACAACCTAAATCAACGGCTCCTACAGGGTAAGAATCAAACAGAGGTAGGGTTTGGGTGGAACTTGCCTTGAGAAACCGTCACTATGTTTTGGGACAGCCTTGAAACTGAGGGCTTAAGAGCACGTAGGGGAGCTGCCAGCACTGGTGGGAGCATGCACACAAACGGAAGTACCCTCAAATTTTTTCAGTTCAATTTCAGGAGCGACCAGCTCAGGGGGAAAATTACAGGTATATGTTTTTGAGGATTAACCACAGGGCGTCATGTTTGTGGTACAGGTCCATATCTGGGTTGTTGAAGTGAAGGTCTTAGTTCTACGGGGTAACGAGTTCTGTTCAACGACGACCAGGGAATCAATTCGAATCAGGGCTTCACAACTGTGACCAAGAAGGGGCGAGAACATGTTTTATGAACGAAATAGTCCAATCCTTTTGCAGTGGAGTTTTGGGGAGATCAAGAATTGTGCCCACGCCGTCAACAGGTCCGCGGCCAGTGAAGGCTCATAGAGTGGATAAGAAATAGAGATAATGAGCATTGCTGCCTGTAAATTCCAGATTCACTTTGAGAAGGAGATTTCAACAATGACTTAACGAAGCTCTTAGTTTGTTCTAATAGTGGCTGTCGTAATAGTGAGAACGAGGTTCATGGAGTTGTGGGAAGAGACAGATTGAAACACTGGTCGGGCAAAGAGAAGGCCATTGAATGGAAGAGTGCTGGCTCTTCTATGTAAAGCATGATGTGCAGGCTAAGTGTGTATTGAACATGGTTACGGCAGAAGGAAGATAATGGACGCGTGAGAAACAACGCTATCATCCCCACATTCAAACAGGGAGGCAGAGCTAGTGTGGTGGAGCAGTCCAGCTACTATGACCCATTCATTAAGCATAATCGAACGTAATTGGGGTTAATTCACTTTGACATCCGCTTAATTAACTCGCGGTGCTCCTCTCATACCCCCTTGTTCAAGTTTTGAAACACTTTCGCACATGCTGACATATTTCGCAGCGACACGAACAGAAATGAACACAGAATAAAAATTTGAGTTTCAGCAGAAAGCGCGATGATATTGGGTTTTCCCATAATTTCTGGCCGGAATTTCAACTTTGATTTTTTCAAGTTTTATCTTTCCTAAAAAACAATTGATCAAAAACATAACCACCATCATAATCACTGATATGCATCCATTTGCTAGGGAACGAATGGATGCATTCCTCCCAGAACGAGTGAAGCTGTGAGATGAAAAGCTCGGAGAGGTCGTTTTGGGGTGGTTGTATTTACTGACTTTTTTCTCTCCTAGCTGCTGCTTCAGGGAGCTGAGGAGGTGATAGTACGATGGAGCAATGTCAGGGCTATACGATAGATGTGGTGTCGTGGTCCAGCCAGTTTCCCTCGAAACGTGGCGAGTTATCTTTGCAATGTGATTTCGGGCGGTCCTTCGGAGAAAGGAGATTTTGAGACGTTTCGAACCGTTCTCCGCACTGCTGCGGCCAACTTCGGAAGTTATTCCATGGTTACCTTCGCAATGCTTGTCTGCATAAAGTGAAGTGGTTCTCAAAACGGGATACCCAGCGAATCCAACGAAGCACTGGTAGTATCCTCTGCCAAAGAGCTCAGGCTTTGGTCGAGATGTGGGTCCAGGCTGCGAGGTAGGCCAGGTAGCCACCGGGCGAGGCGCGTGTTGTTATCGTAGGAGGACTCATGACTCATCTGCACTGGTGACCAACTAGGGAATGTCTTGTCTATACGGTCGCAGAATCTGCAGATGGTCAGGCGTGCTTCTCGGTCATGGTCAGTCGATGCATGCTGTTTCCATCGAGGCTTCATTCTGCTACAGCCCATTCCATTCAGGTGTCGACTCATGGAGCGTAGGCTGCGCCAGATGTTTGCTACAGTTTCCTGCTAATAGCGTCCGGATGCACTTCCTATTCGTAGCGCAAGGGGTCCTCATCGAAAGTGACTGGAGGTCCATGATGAGGTCGAACTTTGCAGCTCCTATCGCTTTGCCGATGCTATTGAGCCAATAGCTCAGTGCCCGATCAGTAGCAAAGACTGGGGCAAACGTAGCGCTGATCTTGCCTACCGCGCTCCTTGCAAGGTTCTTCAAAATTGTCTTATGGCATAATTGTTGGGTTTCCTTATTTTCCTACATATATATCTATTTGCGCATTTGACTCTCTGAAGCATCCTGGCTGAAGGTGTGATGTTCTTCAACATATCAACTTATTTCATATGAAGCTAATTTGACATGAAGAAAATTGAATTTGAACCAAAATCGGCCAGGAATTATGGGACCACCCGTTATTGTTGAATTAATTATAGTTCTCTTGGTGAGGATGTAAAATATGTAGACATGCGAACTACTTACGGTCTCACTAAAAAGGTTGCCGTCATCTTGGTATACAGTTATTCACATTTCAGCCCAACGGATTGAAGGCAAAGCGTTTGTACGTCGTGGGGCTCTACGACAAAAGAATGTCCACGAAATAAAGTAAGTTTCGTGAATTACGATATGCTTTTGGTAAGTATGGAGACCAAAACAGATCCTTCATGTTCCATTACCCACTGCTGCCTTGATGGGCATTCTTCTAATTTCAGAGCACACAAGTTCATTGCCAGATTCTTCAAGCAGCCTACTTTTTGTTCACATTGCAAAGATTTCATATGGGGACTGAATAAGCAAGGATTTCAATGTCAAGGTCGGCTTTATCTTATATTATGATTTTCTACTCCTGCAATTGTAATAAATCAGAGGGCATTTTATAGTGTGCTGTCTCGTCGTCCACAAACGCTGTCATGAGTTTGTGAATTTCGCCTGTCCAGGTGCTGATAAGGGTGTCGACACAGATGTTAGTACGCTCCATTATTTGATTGAGATGATGATTTTCTTAATTTTTTTATCTCTTCAGAGATCCTCAAAGATAGTAATGGGAGTGACTTGTACAAATTTTTCGTAAATACTCCCTGAATTGAAGCCTCGAGTTGGGATTAGATCCCAAGAGCCAGTCCATCCTAGAGTGAGAAAGACGCTTAGAACTAAGCAAGCTTAGAACTAAGCCTAGCCCAATCATAGGCTTAGGCATAAGCCAATGTGTAAGCATAAGCCTTAACCTAAGTCTAAACCCAAACTTAACCTTAAGCTTCAATGATCGCGCAACTGTGGTGACCTGACCCCAGGAGGAGAAACGCACGTCTCCAGAAAGAGGGGTCCCCAAGGGCAGGCGGCACGTCACTGTCGTTACTCAAAGTTGCGAGGCAACAGCGCTAAGGCCTTGCCTTGTGTGCTGCCGTGCTGCCATGCCTTATCAACCATGGCAGACGTGTCTCTGCGCCCTCTCGCGTACGACGTACGCTCTTGGTTTTCCCTCTCCTCGCACTGCTGTGCCCTTCCGTCATCTCACGGCCGACTCAATGAATAATTTGGCTTCTTGCTCTTTCCCCTCACTAAAATTCGTCACTGCACCCTTTTGTGACTATAAAACAAAATAACGCATCAACTCAATCCCGACTCGATCCTTTAGTTCTCCCAATACCTGTCTCATAAAAACAGCGAGCGAAAATGCTTCAGTGTTCTCTTTGAAAGATCAGAAATTCATGCGATTTGCGCGGATTTGCGTCCCTCTTGTGTGTCAGCTAGAGGACAATCTGGTTCGAGCATTCGTCATGCACTCGGGCTCCATCTCAAAATTACTGCGTGATTAATCGGCTTTTGCAATACTACTTATGCAAGTCGGCCACGGAGAAAATGCTAAACATTTGGCGCGGAATGAGGCACGCACTTGACCTTCTCCAACATCTTCAATTCAGCATACTGTAGTCAATGTTTGTTTTGTTCTGTAGTCAATGTGTTTTCATACACTATTTTGCAAAAGGTCATTAATAATCGAACCAGCTTGGCTGCGTGCGCATTCGCGTACGTCATGGTCTGCCATGGTATAGAACAGCCATCAAAAATTTTCTAGTGCTTCGAGCTCCGCCTACCTCGGTGCACGTCTCACCCACCATCAACATTTATCCCTCTCTTCTTACCTGAAGTTTAGAAAAAAATGAGACGGGAACCGAAACACTTCATTTGGTCGAGTGCGTGCCGCGCTCCAGGAAAAGTCTAGCAGTTTCTCCTTAAAGATTCAGGAATGAATTATGATTTAATTCCACTCAAATGTGAAAGTAGGGGTAGGTAGTGGACCGCCAGTGCAGAAAAGAGAAAAAAAATCGTGAAATGCACAGGAAATACGAGCCATTTTGCTCTACGCTGCGGAGAAGTTCAAAAGGCCGGCAGGGAGATGAGAGATAATGTGAGCGCGGAGAGCGCTAGAGAAGTCTAGAGCATAGCAGATCAACATTGCGACGCAGACAAGATATCGAGCGGTGGGCGGAGCGTGTCGCAACAGGTGGAGCGTGTCAAAGTTCTTAGCGCCTAGCGTCTAAGTAACGCTTTTCGAAGTAGGGAAGTGACGCGACCTCTACACTTGCGTACCTAGCGCTTCTAGCCACCGTAAAGGCTCATTAAGTGGGTCTGAGCCCGAACTTTGCCTTTAACCAGCTTGCGCAAGTAATACCGCACATGCAGCAATATAAAGATGATAAAAAAATAAAGAGCACATGACTCTCGAGATGGAATGCTTGACATATGACATACGTTGTATTCCTTTCGAAACAAACATTGGTTTATAGAGCTCCACAGCTGACTGAATGAGACTCTCAGCTTCTTCAGATTCAAACACAAACCAGAATCGACTTATATGTAGCCGAAAACCACTTCTTTTCAAGGCTGTTCGATTACCTATAATGCTCACAGAACTCTTCTAGGACCCGCGTCAGCAACATAAATGGAAGGTACAAACGTACTCGTCGCCAACCTTTTGCGAACATTGTGGATCACTACTTTATGGATTAATACATCAGGTGGGTGCACCACAGAAAAACAACGTCAAGTGTACGTATGCAAGGGCAATTCCCTATGTGCATTCACTGTGGTTTGAGTCGTTTTCATAGTGTACAGGTCAGGCATTGTCTAGCGCAGTAACTAACTGCGTGCGCAATTAGGTTCTGTTTGAATTCTCGTACATTTTTGAAAGCAAACTGCAAGATTGTATTAAAAAATAGAGCCTCAGAAGTTGGAGGGGAAAACAAAAAAGCTGTTCGACCAGCGTTTCGCTCCTTACTCTAAATCATAATCTTTCCAAAAATTCGGCTGAAAGCTCCTAGGCGGTCGACGAACTGCAACACACATGTGGGTTAAATGGGCTTCAAGTGTAAAATGGAAGCTATTCTGATAGAGATATTCTTTCTCCATGCTCTTCAGAAAAGAAATGAGGTAAAAGTGTTGGACGATCATATCAGAAAAGAATGATGTCATGAATGAACTAGCTCTCAAGCGCCACCATTTTTATGGTACTGAAGCTTATTGGGGTAGAGGGTGGGAGTGGCAGAACGTCGTTTCCCCCATATCTTTAAGACGAAATTAATTGCACTTTTCTGAATTGGATTCTGGATTTAGACTGAATTCTCGCAACGAAATTGGAGGTCGCATTCCTGTCCAACCGAAATTTCCAAAGCTTCCTACTCTGATGATACTTGACTTGCAGCGGGAACATGTGGCTAGTTCAAGTCCAAAGAGGTCATGGATCGTTACGACCTCTGAAACGCTGGTATAAAGGGGGCTTGTATAGACACAGCCGCGCTGTCGCAGTTAGGCCAGTGCAGTTACGGTAGGCCTCTTTGAGCTCGACGACGATGGCAGGTGGCGTCATATTCTTACGACAGTGAGGCTCCAGCAGTAGTACACAGTAGCCAAATATGTTTTGTAAAACATGGTAGAGACGAGCATTCATACAAAATTGCAAAATGCGTGATACAATAACATACCGTACTATCAAATGAAGCATATTAGGCGCTTGGCGAGTGAGCCAGTCACTTGACTTCTACCCAACAAAATGCAAAACTTTTTCAGAAAGGTTTTTCACAAGCAGTTACTTCCATAACAAGCCCATTTTGTTTACAGGGGATGAAGTGTCAATCGTGTGATGCGAATGTACATCACCGTTGCGTCCGTTACGTACCAAACATGTGTGGAACGGATCATACAGAAAAACGAGGTCGAATCTTGCTCGAAATTACTGCGAAAGATGGAATACTCACGATTTTCGGTGGGCATGCAATATGTTTACATACAGCTGTGCGGAAAGTCCTGCAGCCTACAACTTTCAGTGGGATTCCACCTTCTGTCTCAAAACAGTTTCGATGGACTTTTGAGAACTTGTGAAATCACAGGAATAGTAGCGTCTACTCTTTTTGAATACCACTACTCGGCGACTGTTGTTCGATAGCATAGCCAATCGTGCGCTGCGCCTCCACAACCCCTCCGGGGTGGGGTAGAAGGGGGGGGGGGCGTATTTGAGATTTTTTGGAGGAGGATCGTATTTGAGGACGGTGAGTTTCAAAAGATTGAAAAGGGGTAGTGCCTTCGGAAGTTGATGTTGTTGTGATGGGAGAGGGGAACAACGTTCGAAAGGTTTTGACGATTTTGGCCACAACTTCAGGTGAGAGCAGTTTGAGGTAAGTGTGGGAAAATGTAGGCAGTGTTGACTGGTCTCACTATCAAAATAATGGGGTGCAGGGTCAGCCGTGCGTTGTGCAGATTTCAAAGTTTTCCCCTTTTCCACTCTTCACATCTTTTTCCCTCGAAAAACGCATCGAGGAGGGATTGGGGTATACATATACCTAACATGAAACCGTAAAAATTCCCTATATCCCTTCACTTCCCCCTACATTTTTCCAATTTCCCCTATATTTCCACTGCAACATTTTCTAGGGAGATATATACGCACGCTGAAACGGCAAATTTTCTCCCGCGCGCTCTCACCTCATCACATGTAATTTCGTGCTACCGAAAAAAGTACGACCCCGTCACAAACTCAACAAACTACGATCCCACCGTTGGTACTTGTCCCAACGTAGGGTTGACCCTGCTTCAGACGCTCCCCCCTGTATTAGCTATTCATAGCTTTTCACGTATTTTTATGCCCATTATCGGTGTATGGGCCGCCATTTTACTTTTACCGTCTATCCCCGCTTGCCCCTGTCCCCGTCCCCTCTTACGACCCCCATCCCAAATGCTACCACATCCTCTCCTCAAGGCAAATGTGAACCCTGTCGAAGAATTCGTATTCGTTGTTCATCCTTTGACAGTATATGAGCACTAGCGTTATGAGTGCGTGAAGTGATTATTACTGGCAGCAAAGCAAACGGAAAATTCTCCACACAGTGGGGTACTGAATTTATTTTTTGCATGAACCCTTTCAGAATATCATTGTTATACTATTCTTTTCGGAACCATAACTTTGCAAAGTTAGAATTTTTAGGCCTTACGACATAACATGCAGAGTTATTTCCGAAGAATGGACCAACTAATTATTCAATGCATGACTTTCCTATGCAGCTGTATATTGTATATTTCAATATCACTGCAAATTATTCTTGTAGTCAAGGAAGCTCGTAATCTCATACCAATGGATCCGAATGGACTGTCTGATCCGTATGTGAAGTTGAAATTAATACCGGAGGATGCTGGCTGCAAGTCGAAACAGAAAACAAAAACACTTCGAGCAACACTGAATCCAGAATGGAACGAAAAATTCACGTAGTAAGTCATTATGTGTGGTCTTCATCCATTACACACTTTCCGTATTGTTCAGCATTATTTTTCTCCATTTGAACATTAGTGTAAGTAAGTGACAAATTTGATCGCAAGTTCAAATTTCAACACAAAATTCCAGGTTGAAAATGCAGACACAAATTGTGCTCATTTTTGTAAAGGATGTTGATTTCCTGTTTCAAAATGACACCACGTGTTTCTTCGTTGTATTTCATTTTCGCTTCATGAAAGTTACCAATTTCTTTTGAAGTCCTACAAAATGAGCAAAGAAGGCAAGCTCGAAAGAAAAATAGACGGAAAGTAAGACACAACAAACAAGAAGTGATTTTGCCCCAGTCGAAGTAGCTACGATTTTCCAGCCAACATGACTCATGGTTTTTGGGCGATTTCCTTCCAGAAACAAAGTCTTTTTCACTCTCCACCAGGGAATGACTTCGGAAAATCTTCAACGCTCTCTCAACAGTGTTTATAAAAAGATAAAATTTGAAGGAAGACTATTATCCTGAGCTTGATTTTATTAAATTGAATTCTTTCCTCATAAGCCGCATTTAAGTTGATCAAAGAGCAAAGAAGAATGTTCAGAGCTCTTTTTTGTTTCATATCCTGCGGGATTCCAGGAGAACTTTCTACCCGTTATGGAGCTAACAATTCTCGTGTCTCGTGTTAGGCTCAATTCTCGTGCAGTTTAACACCGAGGCTTCCTGGTAGACCAGTTTCATGAAGCGGAAATGGAATGCAGCGAAAAAAATATGGGTGGCTATATCATTTTGAAAATAGAAAAATAGACTCCCTTCACAAAAAGCACAATTTGAGCACAACTTAATTTTGCATCTTCAACTCGGGATTTTATGTTGACCTTTGGAATGGCGACCAACGTTATCACGTTTCTACTTCGACAGTTTCTTAAAAACTTAATGAACTTGGAGTTTTGGACGATTTTTAGGTAGCTCTGTCACTATGAAACGCAGTGTACTTGCGATTTCATTCATTTCTTAGGCTCTACTGCTAAATGAATTCGAAAAAAAACCTAACTTTTATTGCAGTAAACTCCAGCCAGGAGACAAAGATAGGCGATTATCAATTGAAGTATGGGACTGGGATCGGACATCAAGGAACGACTTCATGGGAAGCTTGTCATTCGGAATTTCTGAACTGCTCCTCGAGTCGGCATCTGGGTGGTTCAAACTCCTCAACGCGGTACGCCATTTTTTCATTTTAACAAACATTTGACATTGGATGTAGATCGTAATCCTACAACACACATTTTGTCTGGTGTGCATTGTTAACCCTCCTCTTGTCAGCTTCGCAGGCTCGATTGTGACGTTGGGTTCCTTTTATCACAATTGCCCCCCTGAACATCAAAAGTTGGTTAAGCGGTAGTAGGGTAGTAGTGCTATGTATTAGGCTCAGATGCTGTCATTTTGGCAATAATGACTCTTTAGTCTTCCTCTACCAGTTTTGGCTGCTCCCGATATCGCGCACTACACGGAGGAGCAACCCCGACGAAGGTTACCATAATCCTAGTCGCCTAACGACGGTCCAGCTCCCATGTTCCGCTTTCTTCTCAAAACCTGCTAATTCTGATCGGTGACCTGTGACGGTCGTATTTCATCTTCAACGACTGTACTGGCTACCCCTTCAACAGAGCCGTGTACTGACGCAGCACAAGGGATGGCAGGATGGGGAAAATTCACATCGAGATGTTTTCAAAGTAGTCGTGCTATCGCCTTAATGTTTCCTTGCTGTTCGTCACCATTTTGATCATTTATATCGGAAAATTTCTCTATATTCTTAGCCGGTGATGGCGGGTCTTTGGGACTCGGCAAACTTTCGAGCAGCTTTCGCGTGCGGAACGGCCTTTGCCACTTTTTTCCTACCTGATAACTCGACTCTTTTCCTTTACGTCACTACCTGATTCTCGCTCACCCACTCGCCTAGTTTTGCTACAGGCGGAGCGATCTTTAGCGTACAAATCAGTGGTCGGTGTTGTGTGGCGACCGTTTCATAAGGTACTGTTTTCGCGTCTGTTACGAGCCCTTGATCGCGGTGCCTGACAAGGACGAAATCAATTTGTGTTCTGGTTTTACCGCTATAGAATGTGATGAAGATGTGAGTCACGTTTTCGGAATTTCGTGTTCACAATGGCGAGGTTATGCGAGTCTGCATACTTCAAGAATTCGCTCGCCATCAGTATACGTGACCCATATCGAAGACCACCATGACAGTTGTAACCAGAGTGAATAACGGTCGAGGAATTCCTCGACCATGGCTCTCTACTGTGCGAGAGTAGTGCCGAGAGTGAACATACGCGCGGAGAGCACAGACGGCTCGCGCATGGCGAGTGTGAATGTCCGCGCGGAGAACGTAACTGATCAGGCGAAAATCCTCGACGTGCCGTTGAGGAATCCTCAACCGATATTCACCCTGGTTGTAACCGTCATTGTGGCGCCAACGTGCCCATTGAGGTCACCTGCGACAATTATAGCTTCTTGTGACGGTACCTCAGCTGTCTTCTCATCAAGCAGATTCCAGAACTTGTCTTTGGCTTGCTCGGAGCATCCGGTCTGCGGAGCGTACGCAGAGAAGTGGTATTTTCGTTGTTCCATGACGACAACGATCTTCATTAAACGGTCGTCGAAGCGCTCCACGCTTACTATCGAATCACACGAAAGCGTTCAGAGACAATCATCCCGACGCCATTGGTGGTTCTGGGACCGCCACAGAGAACGGCTTTGAAGCCGCGGCCAATGTCCCTCGACTTGCAGCAGGACCACCTCGTTTCCTGCACGGCACAGAAGTCTATTCGTCGGCGCTCTAGCGCTTCTGCCAGCTCGCTGGAGCGGCCCGTCAACGTGCCAACATTTAATGTTGCAACGCGAGTCTTCGATACGTTGCATGGCTTTTGGACTAGCCTAGTTGCCCCCCGTCCTCGCACCGGAGACCCTCGCATACTTGTCAAACTCGCCCAGCTTGGTCCTCTACCCATAATCGAGAGCCGGTGGCCTGAATTTCTGTTGGTCTACTACTACCTACCCGACTTAGTTTTCGAAATAAAAACTGGAGTTGTAGCATTGAGGAGGGAAGGTGCCTTCCTGCAGTTCTTAAGAAAGTATACATGGCGAACCTGCAGGTCACTTCCACTCGTTCTGGAAATGCAACATTTAGGGTCACCTCATAACTATAAGTATACTAGGTTGAAAGGGAAGTCTTTGCCGCTTTTGAGGATTCGAGTTTCAAGGCATTACTTCTGATTAAGTTTCTGGCAGACTGCTACATCTTGCATAATTTTAGAAAGCGCGATGCTTTGCTTTTGCTCTACCCGATGGTACTGCTAGCTTTGCTGAATAAGTGGTGCTTCTTTTTCAAAAACTTGAACACAAAATGCTCAACTAGTCAATCAGCATGATTGTCTTCTCTAGCGCGTAGGGCATAAAGCAGCGGAAACAGCTCATGATATGAAATCTTAGTTCGGCCCGGCATTTGCGAAAAACAGGGTGTGCAGGGATAGTTTGAGAAGCCTGTGTAGGGAAGGCGAGATCCTCGCGGATGGTGGCACTGATCACTGGACATCGAATGTTGCTAAAAAGTAATTGAAACTATTGTAGAATCAAATGTGCTCAGAATGTTGCGAAGGTAGCTATGAATTATGCTCAAATGATCTGTGGTTTCAAATCACATGGGATGGGTTGGAAATTCCGAAAAAGTAGATAAGGGGGTGCCGAAAAAATCGTAGTTTGCCTGCCCTTTCTCTACCATCTTTCGACTAATGAAATGACGACCTTTTTTCGTATGTATTGCGATGTGCAACCTTAAAAGGATTCATTTCAACAACATATGAGTGTTGGCTGAGTGTTCGATCACGACTAGGGTCAACAAAACTTTGCAAAGGTGAAGCCACACGAGGTCATGTTGGACTGCCTCGTAAGCTGTCTGCAGCACGCGCAGCTCTCCGAGCACGGGCGCAACTATTACAGTTGGATAGTACATTTTGCAAGGTGCTATAGCAATCCGAAACGCTGGCACAAGCGCCCAGCAAGGGCTGCCATATATGAGCACTTTTTCCACGACGCACCTCAGCCACCGACCGCAGAACCGACCCTGGGAAAAATGAACTAGCTGGAGTAATAATAATCACCTGTATCACCTGTCGTCCCGTTGATCATCGAATTGCTCGAGCGGGCGCCAGCAACGTCTCCATTCGTCCCTGTCGCGTGCTAGAGTGGTCCAGTGGATCCTCCTTGCTCGAGGGACACGAAGTCCATTCATTCCTTTCGTTCAGAGCTTTCGTGAAGAAGTCTGACCATCGGGCCGGCGGTCGTCCAGGTGTTCGTTTGACGTCCCGAGGGATCCAGTCGGTAACCGCTCTGGTCCAACGGTCATCGCAAAATCGCATGACGTGTCCGGCCCACCTTATCTTCGATTCCTTGGCGAAAACGGCAGCGTCCCTGATCTTCGATCGTTGGCGTAGTTCGAACTCCGGATTCCCCTCTGCACTTGCGTGTATAGGGTTACTCCTAGCATCGTCCTCTCGACAGCGCGTTGGATAACGCTGACCGCATGCTCGTCCTGCCTGCGCAGAGTCCAAGTCTCTGAGGCGTAGGTTAGGGCAGGAAGGACAGCGGAATCGAAGAGGTGGGCACGGAGCCGGATGTTCTTCGTCTTCTTCACTACTCCCTCGATGTTCTTGTACGCTCCCCAAGCCGCTCGTTTCCTCCTGCTCAGCTCTGGAGCTAGATCGTTCATCATATTGATTTCCCGACCTAGGTACACGTAGCTGGAGCATTCGGTGATGTTCGTTCCGTTGAGCGTGAATGGGGCATCAGGAACCAATCCGTTTCTCATAAACATCGTCTTCGTTAGGTTCAGCTGTAGACCAACCTTACCACAGGCGCAGTCGAAATCAGCCAGCATTCGCTCCGCTTGCTCGATGTTCGGCGTTATAAGAACGATGTCGTCAGCAAAACGAAGGTGGTGTAGTTGCCGGCCGTCGACCTTCACTCCCATGTCTTCCCATTCCAGTTGACGCATGACGTTCTCGAGAGCGGCGCTGAAGAGTTTGGGCGAGATGGTGTCGCCCTGTCGGACCCCTCTCTTGACGTCGATGATGACCTCCTTGTAGAATGGTGAGATTCTGGTCGTAAAGTTGCTGTAGAGCTCACGAAGAATCTTGATGTACTGAGTAGGGACGCCCTGGTTGCCCAAGGCTTCGATGACCGCTTCTGTCTCCACAGAGTCGAAGGCCTTCTTCAAGTCGATGAACGTGAGACAAAGCGGCATCTTGTACTCCCGTGAAACTTCAATGAGTCTCGTAACCGTGTGGATATGGTCGATCGTGCTGAACCCTCTTCGGAACCCTGCTTGCTCGCATGGCTGTCCTTCATCTAGTATTCTGCCGATCCTGTTAAGGATGACTCGTGTGAATAGCTTGTAGATTACAGACAGCAGGCAGATTGGGCGATAGTTGCCAATGTCGTCCAAGTCTCCCTTCTTGTACAGCAACACGGTCCTGCTGGTTTTCCACGGAGTGGGTACCTTGCATTCCGACAGGTAGCGCGTGAAGAGTCGAGCCAGAGTTCTGATGATAACTGGCGGTGCGTTCTTCAGATGTTCCGGTTTAACCCTGTCGAGACCGGGTGCTGTGCGGGGGGGGCGGGCGCGCGCGGGGGGCGGGGGGGCCGGGGGGGGCGGGGGGACCGGGCGCTGTACAATTCTTCACCGACTTGATGGCGTGTCGGACTTCGGAAGAGAGAACTGAGGGGACAACGTATCCATCCTCTTGCGGTTGATAAGTAGGCAGATGGACATGGCTATCGAAGAGATCCGAGTAGAAGTCGTGGATGACTTTCTCCATTGCCCTTCGGGATGCAGTAACTGTTCCATCCGGACGTCGGAGGCAGGTCATCTTGGTCTTGTAGCTGGCAAAGCTTCGGCGGGCATTGCGGATGCTCCTCCCAGCCTCTGCTGCTTCAGCTAATACTGCTGCTCTTCGCTCCTTGAGATCTTCCTTTATCGCCTCTCTGCATAGCTTCGCAAGCTCGGACGTGAGTCGGTGATTGCCTGCAGCTCGTGCGGCTCCACGCTGGCGTATCAGTTCGAGAGTTTCCGGAGACAGACGTCCCTTGGTGACTTTCAAACTCTCTGCCTTCTTGCCACAATCGTGAAGATGTTCAACGAGCCGATAGTACTCCTCGTCGATGTTTTCGATGACGGAATCCTCCCATAAGCTGACG